AGCGGTTAACGGGTGTTGGGTTGCAGCAGTGCGGTCGGGGGGAGTCAGCGAGGGTTGTCTCTCCAGGGTGATCGACATGGGGAGGTCACAGCGCCGTCAGCATGAGGCTCCCGCGGACCATGTGCAGGACACATTCAGGGCCAGCTCCCCTATCTATCGGTACCTGGTTGTCGGCCAGAAGGTCGACAACCAGGGGGTCATGATGCTCTGTTGCACGTTTTGCAACAAAGTTTTCCAAGGGACCCAGTTTCTGGCCACGAGGCACTTCTTGCAGACAAACTACTGCAAGGACGTCAGCGACGAGGCGTTGTACGAGATTGCTCGACGGAATCAGCAGAAGTTTGAGGCCGATCAGATGGAGAGGGTGTCGAGGTATGCAGCGGAGCGCGGACTCGATGTGCCCGGCACAGGTGGTGCAAGGGGAGGAGAGGCGGGGCGGCGTCCGGCGGAGGGAGGGGTCGGGGGAGATGGTGGGCATGGTGCGGCAGACCCCACTTTGGGTGGTGGAGGCGGTGAGACAGAGGAGGGCGTGATCCACGTGGATCGCGAGGCGCGTGGCCCGGGTGACGAGGGAGTCCCGGAACGGGACGACGTGCCTGAGGTTTATCCAAGCACTGGGGAGAGGTTGGAGGACTGGCGGAGGCGAGCAGGCAAGGGAGCTGCAACGGAGGGGTCTTCCAAGAGGAAGGAAGGAGGGAGTGATCCGGCTGCCACCTCAGCAGGGAAGAGGCTTCGGCAGCAGAAGGTGACTGATGTCTACGGTGGCGAGTGGGTTGCCCGCCACAAGAAGGCATTCCTTCGCTGGTTGTATTACAGCGGGGTCTCCTTCAATGCCTTCCGCAACTAGGCGTGGAAGGCATATCAGCAGGTGCTTCTTGACCAGCCTGGCAGTTCCCCGCGGGCAGTGCTCCCCAACCACTGCGAGATTGCGAGTATGCGGGCGGTGGAAACCCACCGTGCGGAGTTGGCGGAGGAGTTGGAGGAGGTGAGGTAGCCATTCTGAGTGACTGGTGCCACCCTCCCCTCCGATGGGAGGAAATCATGGGACGGGAGACCGATCGTGAATTTCCTTGTTGCTGGCTCTCGAGGGGTCGTCGTGTACACGACGATCAATCGAGAGGGCGAGTCGGACGATGCAGTGCATGTCCTTCGTAGATGGGTTACCATCTTCCACGAGTTCAGCTTTGGCGGGCCGCAGCGGATCAATGCGATATGCACTGACTCCGCTTCTGCCTATGTGGCGGCTGCGAGGGCATTGACCTCGCCGTCCATGCCTCCGGCACTGAGGAGGATCACTTGGCTCCCGTGCTCCGTCCATGTCTGCAACAAATTGTTGTCAGACATGGGGACGAGTTAAGACGCGTTTGTGGACGCGATCACACGCGCTCGTGTGCTGGTGGTGTTTTTCAAAACCCACCAGGCCGCCCTTCATTTTTTTAGGACGTGCAGCCCCGAGAAGGGGCTTATTCTTTCTTGCGAGACGCGGTTCGTGTCTGTTTCCTCCATGTTGGAGAGGCTGTTGGCCCTGCAGGACACTTTGCCGGACATGATGCGAGGGGACGACGCACAGGCTTTTGCTTCCATCCCGTGGTCCGCAGATGTGTGCGTCATGGCGCGGTGGGTGCGCCGACAGATCAGATGAGATCCATGGTGGCAGAGGGTGGCCACCATCGTCCATATCATGCAGCCCGTCATGGAGTTGCTCAGGAGGATGGATCGTGGAGGACAGCCCTTCTCCTGAATGACGGTCCACGTCCTCCACAAAGTGCCCAAGTGAGCAGAGGTCGGGTCACACAAACTCAAGCGAGATAGCCCTCAAGGAGGGAGTTCCCGCAAATGAGTTTTCACGTGGTCTTAATGTCCCAGGCTGCCCCAACATAATCCCAACTGTACTTCCCCAAAAATTTGTCCCCTCAACCAATCGCAAGTCCACACCGCCTCCAATCACCACGTCAGCTCGCAATAGCTACATCAATATGCCGGTCCCGATCTCAAAATCAGTCCCACTTGATCCTAGATGGTCCCAATGCAGTCCCACACCATCGCCGGAATACGAGGTGGTTTAGAACCCAAAATCGTTTGCACAGCGCGCCGCAAAAAAAACAAAGGTAGCCCTGGCTGAAAACCGCATGTGCCGCGAGCCCAAAAAAAATAAAGATATCCTTTCGGCGCAACCGCAAGTGTCGCAACTCCAATAGCCACTACCAAGAGCACTCAATCCGCGCTCCCTTTATGTTACTGGTCCACGCACCACTACCGCACAGACCCGATCGTGCATCAGCACTAGCCCAACCTCTGGCCCCATGGTTGCCGCACGCCACAAAAAAATATAGCGCGGAACAGTCGCTCGCCGCGCCATCAAAACCGGTACCACGCCGCCGTGTCAAAAAACATTAGCAGCAGTTCCCACCGAAGTGTCATTGCCATCGTACCAAAATTTTTGCAGCGTAACCTCACAAAAAAACATCGCCATTGTCATGCCGCCAAACAGTCAGCACCTCGTCTTAGGGAGTCCTTGATGCCACCATACCATTAGCTCGGAAGCACCCCCCCATCAAAGTGCCATTGCCGCCACCGCCGTGAAAAACCGGCAGTGTTTCCGCACTAATGTCGTTAAAACTAGTGCCGCCGCCACAAAAATTCAGTAGTGCTTTCTCGTCACCGCCAAAAATACACCGCTGCCGCCGTGCAAAATGGGCAGAGTTTCCACCGCTTGCCGAAGACCTCCGCCGCCGTGCAAAACGGGCAAAGTCTTCCCGGCACCGCTTGTTGAAGACCTATTGTCGCCGTGCAAAATGGGCACCGCTTGCCGAAGACCTGCAGTCGCCGCGCAGAACGGGCAGAGTCTCCCCTGGACCGTAATATAAATAGTTGTCGCCGCCGCGCGGTGCGGGCAGCACCTTCCCAGCACTTCACCAAGTGAAGTGGCGGTTATGGCTGCCTCCACCTCTGCGCCCACTGCAGACCTCCACTCTCCATTCCAGCACCTCCACCAGCAGCACCGCCCCTCTCCAATAGCATGCCGCAGCCAAGCCATCATTGATTCAAGTGAATGCCTCAGCAACACTGCCACACGTGTGAGGCTGCTGGGTGGAGTGCTAGCTTTTATAGCCAGCAGATGGCTGTGGGCAGCTGCTTTGCCCACAACCAAGCAAAATTCGTGGGTGCTCCTTGCCCTCGATCTAAATTGATGGCCAGGAGCCCTGTGCCTTGGTTTTCCTTTAGGAGAACCAAGGTTTTCAATCCCCAAAAGTACCTGGCCGTTTTCCCAGGCTAGGTGCTCCTGGAAAATGGTGTACCCAGCCATCTCTACAGCCTGTTCAAAAACGAACAGGTGCAGTCACTTCACCCCCTAGAACCTTTTGCTCCTCTATCCTACGGTTGCGGCCACATTCACGTCCATCTCCTTTTTTTTTTTTTCCCTACCTTTCTTTCTTTCTTATGTAGGGGGGGGCCAAATCGTTTTTCAAACGAGCAACTTCCCATTCCCCAAGGTCATTTCACAGAGTCGAACTAGAATCAAGCTTAAGCGGGGTCTTCTACTGCTCTCCTGTTCTGCGTCTGTATCTGGTGCAAAATGGACAGCTGATACAGGCGCGTGGCCCAAGAGAGCTACCCGTTTCAAAAACGAAAGGGCACTCTCTGGTGGGCTTCCTTCTCTCTCTCTCTCTCTCTCTCTCTCTCTCTCTCTCTCTCTCTCTCTCTCTCTCTCTCTCTCTCTCTCTTTTACACACATACACACACATACACACACATACACACACACAAACAGACCGTCGAGGTTCAACCTCCTGACGAGTTGGTGAAAACCCGATGAAACGGTTCGTCACAGTCGTGCCCATCTCAATGGGCGCCACACTTTTCAGCAAGCACAACCACTGTGGTTGGTCGAAACTGCACGTGCCCGTATTCGGACTGAGATTTATTCCCTATTTGCTCATCATAACAACAACCCGTTCGTCAAAACGAATGGGCGCCCTAAAAAAAATCGCACCCGAATAAAACAAAAGAAAATCTGAAAAATCTCAAAGAAAAAAATAAAACAAAGAAAATCTAAGACAAATCTTAAAGGAGGACTTATAAAAACAAATCTAAAGAAAATAAAGAAAACGAAGAAGAAACAAAAAAAAGAAAAAAACTTAGCTCGTTGTCAAACAGTCGCCCGTTTTCACGGGCGCTGTCATGTTGAATGAGACTGAAGTGCCCAAGTGCTTCCAAGGGCGCCAAGTGGCGCAGTCTTTTCACATTAGTTTTAGTTTTTTTTTCTTTTCTTTTTTCTCCTGTTGGCCAAGGCCAACAGTCACCTTCTCACGTGGCTTTTCAGCCACTTCTCTTGACTTACAAACTCGAGTTCGAATCCTTATGGATTCGACCATTTTTTTTATTTATTTTTTTACGAATTATGCGTATCATCCTTGTGCAGGGGTCATGCTGATCTGCGCGCGGCCGATCTCAGTCGTGCGATCTTCGCGATCGACGGCCGAAACCGACCGCGCCGACAACAAGGTGGCTAGCTCGAAAATGAGTTGGCCCTGTGATGCAGTATGTTGGATTCGATCCCAGTACTTGCTGGGTATGAGTCATCTGTTGTAACCTACTAGGCTAGCTCCTATTACGACAGTGATAGGAGCAACTCTTCTATATGAAGAGCTCAACCCTGTCCCTATCCCCTTATCGTGGCCTTGCAGACCCTACCAACCTGTGGCTCTGCAGACCCACCCTGCCTATGGCCCTGTAGGCCCCGCCTGTCTGTGGTCTAGCAGGCCTTGCCAACCGGCGGCCTAGCAGGCTCTGCCTGCTTGCTACTTCCCGTGGATGACTGCCCATCCATAGCTCCGGGGCCACCCATCGGGTAGGCCTCGGCATAGACCTGCTCGCCCCACCCCGACTCGAGGTCAACCCGGCGGACCCATAAAAAAAAAAACTTGTTATTTCTCTCGCGCTGTGGCCCCATGTGCATCCTCCTATTGAGGCCCTGAATCGTGCGGCTTTAGGTAGAATAGGTTTAGTTCTACCACTTCCATATCCGCACACCTCTGCGGCTTCGACAAGAGCGGAGCACTATCAATTACTATCGTTGTACTCGGACGCCAGAAGCGTCCGGACTAAAACTCGAAACCTTTTAATCTCTCAGTCATAGTTGCCGACCGGCGGCCTAGCAGGCTCTGCCTGCCTGCTACTTCCCTGTGGATGACTGCCCATCCATAGCTCCGGGGCCACCCATCAGGTAGGCCTCGGCATGGACCTGCTCGCCCCACCCCGACTCGAGGTCAACCCGGCGGACGCATAAAAAAAAAAACTTGCTATTTCTCTCGCGTTGTGGCCCCATACCCGGCGCATCCCCCTTTTTAGCCCATTCAGGCCCTAAATCGTGCGGCTTTAGGTAGAATAGGTTTAGTTCTACCACTTCCATGTCCGCACGCCTCTGCGGCTTCGAGAAGAGCGGAGCACTGCCAACTACTATCGTTGTACTCGGACGCCAGAAGCATCCGAACTAAAACTCGAAACCTTTTAATCTCTCAGTAATAGGTCAGGTCTGAATAAACTTTTGGCAAACGTCAGTCTCATCAAGTCCTTCAATTCAACGAAAAAGTCGGACATCGTCCGGCGTTGAAAACCCCCGGCAAATACCCTTGTCAGGGTATTCGCCCCGACACCGCCTGTGGCACTCTTGGTGCCATCCAACTTGATAGTGAGCTGGATCCCTCCAATCGGTATCAGTAAGGTCTTCAGCCAACACGGGTGTGAGTGCGCGTGTGAGTGGGTTGCGTGTTGTGTGTGGGAGATTGTCGTCCTTGGACACTACCATCCAGAAAGTTGCCCATCCCCCACTGCATAAGACCTTTGCCAAGCTTACTGTCTAGAACATAAAG